TCACAGGACACTATTGAGAATGTTCCTTATACCTCTGTGTTAGATGTACCTACTTATTGCCCACAGGCTTTCAAGGTGGCATCTCCCACTGTTACCTGAACTGCTAAGTCTGTCATTTGGCAAAGTAGCCTTCTTGACTAAACTATATTCTCTGGTCTCCTGTCCTTCCTCTGTTTTCCATTCTGAAGGACGCTGTATGATGATGACAAAGAACTTTTGTTGGAAAGCTTCTTGCTCAGATGCAGAAATGTTTAGTTTCTTGAGTATTACTTTTATTGATATCTTAAAGGAAGTTTTTTTTCTGCATACTTATTAATTTAGAGTTAAAGGAAATGGTCCATAAAAGGTGAATGGAAGCGCATGACTCCTCCTGTGACTTGGCAGTACCAAGTTATATCTTGGTAGCATTATGGAGCCTGAATATAATGAGTTAGAGAGGTGAAAGACAAAATTCAGAGTAAAAATAATTCAAGTTATTCTTTGGTCCAGTCTTCAAGGAAAAGAGCTTTCCTTTTACAATTATTTTATGAGATAGTGTGTCAGTGATCAACTATTCTATGGTTCTGTTGATTTTGTTCTTGGGCTTTGTAGGTTTGGGCAGAAAGACACGTAACAAGTGACAAAAGCATGTGTCTGTATCGTAATTTGAATTACCACAGCATAGGTAGCAAATAAGTGCTGCAGCTGCACTTTGGTAATGTGTCTATGGGGAAAGTGAGGGGCTGAGGAGCAAGCAGTGCTGTGGGTAGAGGGACTGCTCCATCTCCAACAACAGTGAGGGGAGGCAAGGGTAGTGGAGAGATGGAATCATCGTATTTGCTTAGTAGTTTGTTACATTTCCATGTAAAATGGTTCTAAGCACACTCTGAGGTTATTATCATTTATTTTGCATTTGCACTTGACTGTCCACAGAGAAAGATATAGCACATAGCAGCTGTCCTTACACGAGTGGGAGGTGAGATGTGCAGCCAAAATGCAAATGGACTTACTGACTTGCCCCCTTCCTTATTTATCCCATGGAGGATCTGAGCAACAAAAACGTTCGGAGAAAGCTCTTGAAATGACAAAGGCAGACTGTACGGCCATTTGCTGAAACTGCATTTTAGAGGACTCTTAGGACAAATTCAATCTATTAATTGCCCCCTCCTTTCTTTTCATTAGACTTTCCACTCATCCCAATGGTTGGAGTATATTGCTATCCAGCATTCACTTAGGTGTAGAATTTTACTGTTCAGAAAGTGGATTTTTTGTACTGTCCATGTGGAAAAGACTAGTAAAACACACCTCTCTGCAGTGCAGAGGCTGCAATACATTTTCAAGATTCTCACAGCTATCATACTGCAGTGCAAAGCCACTTCTATCTGAGCTTATGGCAACTAAAATTAGCAGGGGAGATGAATATTTTGTTGCTTGGACTGTTTTTCATGTTTTTTTTTCAGCTTGAACTCCCTGCTGGGTAAAGTTAGCTTGATAATGGAAACTCGGAATATAACTGGAAATGAGGGTAGAGAAATGTGGCATTAGGAGCCTACTGCTGGAGTAGGTTTCAGTCATCCCAATGGCTGGCTGCTGCTTGCTACCTGAATGCCCTGCCAGGATGGCTGCTGCTCCAGGGAGCTGCAGCAGGGCTCCTCTGAGCAAGAGCTCCTTGGTCACTGTTTCCTTCCCCCTGCTGCCTCCCCGCAAGATATGTGCTGTGCACGCTATTGCTCCTTAGCATCAGTAACAGTTTTTGGTTTCTTTTCTGCATGGCAGAAGTAAATAAATAAATAAATACATACAGAAATGAGTAAGGTCTGAATGCCCCCTGCGTTTCTTTTTCCAGCAATAGGCAAACAGAGCAGTATCTGAAATGATAAAGCTGCTCAGAGCTACATTAAAATAAATAAATAAAGCAACATTTAATATAAAATATGCAAGGCCATCAAGTTGAGTATAACACATTAAGATGAGTATAAGCCTTCATGTTTATATCCACTGTAATTCTAATAAGTGATAAAATTGCCTTTGCTTATAATTTCTGTTTTCCTGTTTTCACTCATTTGAGCAGAGAAAGGATGCTAGATGGTTTCTGGCCTTTGCCAGGAGCAGTTCCAGCCTCTCAGCCCCCCTCCCAGCACATTTATCCCACGGAGATGTTTAGAATTTTCCAGCTAGAGGAGGTAATTTCCTGCACAGTACACCTTTCTGCCATTGGCAGGATTATATTTCATCAGAAAGATAGTGAAAAAAACCTTCTTCATGGAGTAAGCTGTGTGAATCCCTCCCCAGCCATACCTGCATCTGAAGTATTGAGCATGCAAACAAATCCAGCTGCTTTTATACATGCAGCCATTTTAGTGGGAGAGACTCCCATAAGAGAGGATTGGTTTGGATTTTTTCCGGAGGCAATTCAGGCCACACTGTGAAGCACAAGGTAGCTTACGAGGATATGTACCAAAACACACGTATCCTGTTGGAGAAGCTCGGAGGAGCAAGGTGTGCTCATTCTTCATTCCAATTAATTCTGTGCAGCTTACATAAAACCAGCAACTGGCCAGCGACAAATGCACTTCACTCAGAGGTGGTTATAAATACTCTGTCTTTTGTCCTCGCTTTGCCAGGACTGGTTATTTTTAGCAGTGAGCCAGTCGACCTTATCAAAATGGGGAATCAAAAATAGTCTGGAAAAACACCGTGAGGAAATGCTGTTTTTAGCAGCTCCGTCCCCTCGGCGCTGCCGGTCAGTGAGGTGCGAGCAGGCAGGCAGCGCGGTGCAGGGAGTGCTGCTCGGTGAAGCATGAATGCCTCCGCACGGCATGACATCTCAGGGCTCTGGGGACAGGGAAGCACACGGAGAGCATCCCTATCCATGCGCTTCTGTCACAGCAGGGTTTCTTTGCAGGGAACGCTTGCTTGAACAGATTTCCTCACGGCTCGAGTCCTGCTGCGGGAGCTGTAGCAGCAGATTGCTGGAGTCTCTTCACGTTTCCTTCTCCTTTCGGTTTGGGAAGGCTGGACCTCAGGTTACAGAGGTTGGCATGTTACAAGCTGCTCAGTGCTACCGGGCACAGCACAGCCCCATTGGAGGTGTGCGATGGCTCAGGAGGCTGCAGCTGTGCGGGTGGATGCTGGATGCAGATATTGCTCAGCCCAGGCATCAGCTGAATGCTGTCACTGAGCTCATTGTTCAGTTCTGACATAAGCTGAAAGGGAATGCTCTGGCTGGTACAAAATCCTGCTTTTTCTTACGCCAGAGCCAAATTGCTTCATTCATCCCAGGTCCTTGATTCCTTGTTGTAGCCGTTAATGAGTGTTTCAGAAATGAAGTATGAGCTATGACTTATGCTATGCCATAGAATGAAAGCAAAGATGGAAAAGATGTCCCCAAGACACTGAGTTTCATATTTCCCTTTTAGCACAATCTTTTATTGAGAAGGGTTTTTCAGAGCGTGCTGCTTCTAATGTTGGCTGCACCAGGTACCTCGCAGCCTCTCCTGCAGCTGCCTTGAGTGAAAGGAGACCCAACACAAAAGGCTCTGCAGCCATTTCTTTCTGTCCTAGCAGAAAATCCGTGGGGCTGTGTGACAGACAGTGAATGTATGGCATGATGGAAAAGCACTCAGCAACAAATCCCCACACGACCTCAGGAGGGTCAGATAAGGTGAGACAGAAGAGGGCAAAGCAAGTGAGGTAAAATATCCCACCTCTCTTCTACATTTATAAAAATTGATAGCCTGTTACCCAAGATGCTGATGAATATTTTTACCAGATATAAATGGCAACAGAGTCTAAAAATAGTGCCGTGCTGCAGACTTGTCTGGCTGAGCAGCATCACCAGCATACGAATGGGCTCCCTGAGGTAGACAGACTACGTCCTCCATTTTTTCTTGCTGTTTGGATAGAAAAAAAAGCTGATGCTGCTTGCATTCTGTTCAATCTAAGCTCTCAATAAAATGGCACTACCACCCAAATTTTCCTGTAGTGCTGAAGCCTCCTTGCATGTCAAGATGTCCCCTGGCACAGGGAGGAATGGGCTGCAGCACATGGCCCAGGGGGCCGGCAGCATGCCAGCATGTATCTGGGCTGCAGCAAGTGCTTCTGGGCTGCCATTTTGAATGGGTGGGCAAAGGGCCCCAGCAAGCTGCACTAGGGGTGAGGGGAAGGCCTGGATGTGGTTCTGCCAGGGGCTGTCCCCACGGCTCTGGGGTGACAGGGTCTCAAGGGGGGTCATGCGAGGGGATATAGCAGCACTGACACGTTTTTGGCAAAGGGGCAATTCATTGACACCTGTTTTTTGGCATGCCGCCAGTGTGTGTTGTTCTGGCACAGAGTTTTGTGCCACGGATTTATCATGCCCTGTCAGGAGGGGAGCTCATGGTTTCCCTCGGGATAGGGGCTTTTTGTTCCACTCACTTCCTATACAGGCCTTCCTTTGCAAGATCATAGAATCACAGAATCACTCAGGTTGGAAAAGACCTTAAAGATCATCGAATCCAACCATGACCTAACCATTCTACCCCAACTCAAACAACCCTCTGCTAAATCACGTCCCTGAGCACCACATCCAGATGGTTTTTAAACACATCCAGGGATGGTGGCTCAACCACCACCCTGGGGAGCCTATTTCAGTGCTTAATAACAATTCCAGATGCCTGAGGGAGAAGCACGATACGCTTCAGGACAAGGTGCGAGCAAGAGCTGACAGCTTTAAAAGCAGGCTGGCGGCGGCAGCTCTTTGCTACCAATTTCGCAAGCCTCAACGAACTCCACGGCAACCTGCCTTGCCGCTGCAGCGGCGCCCTCCCGCCACAGCGAGGCGCTCTCACAGTGTCGGGGCAGGGCGGCGCCTCTCTTGCTCCGAGTTGGCGGCGGCCCGTGCGCGTGCGTGGCGACGGTCCGGGCCCGGGGAGCGGCGGGCGGCGCGCCCGGCGCGGAGGGGCAGCCGGCGGGCTGGCTGCTCGCACCCGAGAGACTGCGGGCGGAGGTGAGTCTGGGCCGGAGGCGCGGCTTGCCTCGTCCTGCCATTCTCCGCCCGCGTCCCCGAGCCGCGGATGGGCGAGGAGCAGCGGAGGTGCCGCGGCTGTGGGGTCGGGTGACGCAAAGCTTGCTGCAGACGTGTGGCCTTGAAGGTAACGAGGGCGGTACGGCCAGCGTGGGATAACGGGATGAGCGGTCAGAAGCGTACGGAAAGCTTTTGGTTGCGAAGGTCGTCGCGACGAGGGGTCGCGGGGATGTTACTTTGTACGGTGGGCTTTAACAGCTGCTTCGCGGCTCGCTTACTCTGTCCTGACAGCCTTTTGTCAACAACTGCCAGATCAGTGTGTCAACCGATTTCATTATGACTATTTGTGCTTAGTGGTACTTCTTTTATTCATATTTGTTGTCTGCTGTGCAGTTGACTGCTGTCAAGGCAAGAAAATGTCCCATCTTTGTCCAGAATGTGTAATTACATCACCTGCATTCTTCTTCAAGCATGGAAGCATACCAGCTGTGCAGCGTGCAGCTTGGAGCCGTGGATTTTTACTTAATGTGGAAGCTGGAGCAGATGACCTGAGCAGCTTTCAGCATGCTACAAGTAGCTGATCCTTCAGTCATACAGCTGGAACTGTGATTCTGCATGTGAAAGCTTAAAGAACAGTCAGCAGTGGCAGCAGTGATGTGACTGTGTTTGTGACACTTTATATTACATCGTATTTATTGTAAAAAAAGTGTCACTAAGACTACAGCCAACTAACCCCCTTGGCTGGTATAATGCCTGTAGTAGTAATTGCATGCATGTTCGCTCTTTCTGGGGAAGTGGACGTTTGAGATTGTTAAAATGTGTAAGGTTTCCCTGTTTCCTAACTGATATCCAGAAGTAATTATTTCAGTGCCAGAATACGATTGCTTGCACAAACGGATGTTTTTGGGAGATAAAATGTCAGTTCTAAGGTAGCCTCAGCTATGGGTAAATAAGCTTGTGTACCTGGCTGTCTCCATGGATGAGGATCTTAGAACACAATCATTTAGTCTGAATTCTGCAAAGCTTTTTCATTTTGAGTTGGTTTGTATTCTAGGTTTTCTTTGGCATTTTTCTGGTCGATCACGTGCAATTTGATTTGAAGGTCACTTGGTGTTAGAAACAGTATCCTGATACCAAGTTCTGCTTGTTACATGCTATCCACATTGTGTCTCTTCACTCACATCTAAGCTGGGCATGATGTTTTTTTGGTGTTCACTGTGTGTACACTCCAGATTGCCGCCTGTGAAGAATCAGAGCTTCAGGTGGGCTTCTTGTCATTGCCAAGTGGCAGTCACAACATATAACCAACCACTGGCATCTTATGTTCCAGAGGGACGTGAGCATCTGAAGGAGTTTTACTGTAAATCTGCTGAGGCAAAGAGCTTGTCTTGAATGGGTTAATGTTTTTCTCTGCACAGTGATAACTTTGTGTCTCCTCCAGAGCTCAGCCTTAAGTCTCTCTCTTTCTAATTTGCAGAGACAAGAGATAATTGATGCCATTATGTGTGCGTCAGCCAAATATAACACCCGGGGTCCAGCCCTCATCCCAAGAATGAAAACCAAGCATCGCATTTACTACATCACTCTCTTTTCCATAGTTCTGCTTGGCCTAATTGCCACAGGAGTGTTCCAGTTCTGGCCTCACTCCATCGAGTCGTCCAGTGACTGGACTGTTGAAAAACGCAGTGTCCACGATGTGCCTGTGGTCAAGCTTCCTGCTGACAGCCCCATTCCTGAGCGGGGAGACCTCAGCTGCCGGATGCACACCTGCTTTGATGTCTATCGATGCGGCTTTAATCCCAAAAACAAAATCAAAGTATACATCTACTCACTGAAAAAGTATGTGGATGAGTATGGGACGTCAGTGAGCAATACTATTTCCAGGGAATACAATGAGCTGCTGACTGCCATCTCTGACAGTGAATACTACACTGATGATGTCAACCGAGCCTGCCTTTTTGTGCCATCCATAGATGTCCTCAATCAGAACACACTCCGTATCAAGGAGACAGCTCAGGCTTTGGCACAGCTGTCCAGGTACTTGCTGAAACTTCCACATAGGACGCTGCAGAACTCAAGTGGAATAAAATTATGTTGGAGGGGAGGGAGGATCCAGTGAGTCAGTGCTGGAGCTAGTCTTGGACAGAACTTATCATCTGTTTACAGATAACATCTTTCTAATTGTTGTCTGCTTTTTCTTTTGCTTTAGATGGGATCGAGGCACAAATCACTTACTCTTCAATATGCTGCCTGGAGGGCCACCAGATTACAACACTGCACTGGATGTTCCTAGAGATAGGTATGAGTTTTACTGTGTTTGAATGCATAGATTTCTAAATGCCGTTGGAGAAGCAGCAAGTTCAGAACTGTAGCTGATAGCTCCTTAGCTTTTACAAAGCTGAAATATGGCTTTGTCAAGAGAAGTAGAGAAGTCCCTGTCTTGTACAGGCCAAGTGTTTGCTCCAACAGTTTATTCCCATTCTCAGTTTTACAGGCAATATGATCTGTAGCATTTGTTTGTCTTAGCTCTTTTGCTTGCTGTAATGATGGAGAATTTTCAGTTTAGGCTTGTATATTGTATTACAAAACCTGATGTATTTACAGAATGTCTCATGTGATGCAAAGTAGAAATCCAAAGACTGCTCCTAGCTTCAACTTTCTGATACAAGTCAGAACATTTACATGGGATGTTTTAAAACAGATGTTCTACTTGACAAAACTAAAACTATGGTGATTTTCATTAACGTTTGTTATTTCAACAGTTACACTGCACTAGTAATTGGGCAATTTCTCATAGTTGTTTTGTCATTTTAAGATATCTGGCAGGGGCTTAAAAGGCTCCTGAGCTTAATTTTCACTTGCAGAACAGTTTACTTTTGAAGGAGAAAAGGAAGTTGCAAGGCAATGCAAGTTGGAATAAGAGAAACTTTATTAGTTTAGAAGCTGTTATTGAATATGTTTCTAGTGGATTAGCTTATGCACATTTAGCTTTGCTGATTTGGATCCCATGTAATCAGTCCTTCCCTTGAAGATCAAGGTTAGCCGCCTTCTGCTGAATGTTCTGTCAACAAAATCTTCCCTGAGACATGGAATTGTAACTTAGAATGTTGAGTGTAGAGCTTATCTTGATTTCTTTGCACCAAAGATGATTTAAAACATTATCCCTCAATACCAGAAGACATACATTTGGTTGTTGGCTTTTTTTTTTTTTTTGACATGTTTGAAGAGTATGTTTACTCTTTGTAATCACATCACTGATTGTGAAGTGATTTCTTAGTTTTTGCCAGCGTATGGAATATGTTACATGGATGTGGGTTATCCTGAAGAGGGCAGCCAAGCACTGTTCTTGTGTAACCAAACCTGTAAATCTGTTCCTACAAAACTCTTTAAGATTTGTATTTCTTAACAAGGGTTTTCATTTAACAATGTTCTTTTGAGCAGGATGGACTGTTCTTGGACTGCATGCCTGTGTCCTTAGAAAAAGCAGACTTATTAAGTGAATGCAGGAGGTTTACTACGCAACGCAATTAAAATAAAATTGTGTCAAATGTCCATTTATGTCTGACCCTAGCTTAGGGTGCAGAAAATACATTATTTTGGTAGATGTTTTTTGTAAGTGTCTCCCAAGCTACCACAGGAATTCATGTCATTTGAATTAAAAAACCAAAAAACAAAAACCACCTTTTTTTTCTGAAGCGGCTGTTGCCATAGCTTGCTGAGTTGACTTGCTCTGTAGCTGCATAACCACTAGCTCTAGTACAGTAGAGAGGCAACAACGTTTGAGAGGTGGAAAAGGTGGAAATACCTTTTTGTAGGCAGCCAGCTGTCAGACTGTACTAAGTGTAAATCCTGGCCACAGGTGTGAAAATAAATGATCTGTGACAAAATCACTTGTGAGGATCTAGTTCTGGAAGGGCCTGAGTGCTGTCACATGTGGTTACAGTATGGTTTTGGAGACCTCTGGAGGCCTTACCTCATATCTAACAGACAGGAGAACCCAGCATGCCTTCTTCATCTGAATACATCCACAAAGTACAGAATGGGTAGTTAACAAAGTATGCAGCACTGGTAGCGCTGTGAGGTGTGAGGCTGCAGGTTGAAATATATGTATTCTGGCAGAGTTTGATGGATTTTGAATGACAGGCCTGAACTGTACAGATGGAGCTCCATAAGGACTAGTGGGTGTGTGGGATTTTGTGGGTGACTGGTGAAATACACAGGTAGCATTTGTGAAGTTTGCTCAGGGAGTGTGGCCCGCCTTCTCATACTGAGCGCTAATGGATCATGGATGTGATAGAATCATGTTCTGCTGATTTGCTGCAGAATGTGAATCCAGGTAAAGGCCTTATGCACAAAAGGGAATTAATTTATATATTATTTTTATGTCTGTAGAAGTCTTTAGCTAAGCTAGCTCACTGAGAAGTTGACTGTTTATTAAATCTTTAAATCTGATTACTAGGAGACAGATAAAAGCGCTTTATTCCATAATTTCCACAATGCAAGTCTGCCTTGAGGGTGTGGAGCCTATGTTGCTGATATTAGCTGCTGTAACATATGTAATCTCCTGCCATAAAGCTTAAAAGATAAGCCCTTTATTTGTTAATAAGTGTTACTAAATCTAGTATAGTAGTGTGGTTGAAGAGACTTCTTTTTCTGATCCACTCTGTAGCCGTAGAATTGAACGTAGGGATGATGATACCTTTTCTTTCTGCTTCAGCTGACAAATTGGGTTTCAGTGACTTGTGAGATCTGGCAGAAAACTGGTGATGTTGGCAGCTGGGCAGAAACACTTAAGAGTGCAGACCAGTTGGGGCACTTCCTGGAGAGCAAGCAGGATCAGTATCTGAGAAGTGGTGAAAAGTTGCTCTGAAACAGGCTCATTGCTTAGTGCTGTTTGAAGGTTATTCACCTTGACTATATTAGGAGTTAATATCTCTATTCCCTCACTGCACCACAGAATGAAAATCTGAGAGGAGTTATTTAGCTGGTGTTGGTTCCCTGCGGGTTTATTTAAGTAAATGTCTGTATGACACACCTGCTTTCTCAAGGCTGATGAGGTGCTGTCATGTTTTCACCGGATCCAATTAAAACAATCTGGTTGTAGTTTCCCAATTAGGGGGGTTATAAAAAGAGGAGGTTGTAAAGTGCAAGAACAGCAATGTCTAAGCCAGTTTTTTCTCCAGGCTGGTAGTTGAGTTGATGGATAAGCCCTGGAACATGTAGCTTCAAGGGTGAGACCTGCTCATAATATACACATAACGCATATATGTCACCAAAGGGGAGGCACTGGAAAGGAATCCCAAATAAGCACTTGGATCGTAAATTCTCACTCGACGCGTTCTTGATTTATCGTCCTGTTCTCAAGTTGATTTCTGCTGCTACAAATAGTTTGCGTCTACAAGTGGTTTGTGTTCTGAGTGAAGAGTAATGAAAGGCAAGTGTTTGAGTTTGTAATTGTCATCGAACTGAAATATGTCTCTAATCCAGAGCCTATGGTTTTCCAAGAGCTTCTGAAATGACATTTAGTGAAGTCTTATTTGTACCAAAATGGGATATAGGAATGCTAAACGGCTGCGCTGCAATTTAAAGCAGGAAGCGAATTATCCTGCAGAACACCTTGAAGGGAGTTAGAAGAGGCAGAACATGCTGATGTTTAACCAGGCTGATGAGTTCTGAGGGGAAAAAATAATTAGTCTTGGATGATAACTAAGTAAAATCATAATCTGTTGCATAAGAGCAATAGAAAAACTGCTCTGAACACTATACTATGCATTTAATTCAGTGATAGCTGGAAACTACTTCACCTATTGTGTTTTCAGCATCTCATCTGGTCTCATACTGATGTTCTTCTCATGTTACTGATGAGACCTGCCTGCTCCAGTCTCAACTGTGAAAGTGGGCAAGGTTGTGGTAAGGCTGCAGGCTGTAATTGTAGCTGCTGCAATGGGTACCGTTCCTCAAGCCCCTTTCCACGTTATCTAGAGTAGTGCTGTATTTGTGTTCTTCTTCTTTGCCTGGAGACAGGTTTCTGCAAATTACTTTAAGTGGTAATTAAGACAAACACAGTATCTCTAGGGCAACTTTAGGAATAGCTCACCTTGCTGTTGGTGACGAAGGGCTAAAAGTATGATCAGACGTTTCAGGAGTCTCAGAAGAAGCTGGATGAGAGCATATTTTGGAATCAGATGATGTGTTCAGTGTGCCACCTGGTCACTGGGGATGAAATGTAACTGAAAAACTGTTGGCCTCTAATCATTTGTTCAAAGAAGCTGGAATTGGGATAAGAGATAATAACACATTAGTTTCTTCTGGCACTGTGAATGGTGCGTTGCTTTCTTCTGTACACATGGTTCTCTTCTTTTTCTGAAAGCTCTTTATGTTATGAAAGGTTGTCCCATTTAGGAAAGGCCACAGACAGAGTCAACTCTCTAAAGAGTTAAAATGGATCTTAATTTATCCATCCTTGGTTATTCTCATGCATTCTAGCAGTGTCCCAAGCTGCCTCTACTCTTGGAGATTGGATTCAGAGCATACTGAGCTCTTGCTGTGGTGTGTTCTGCTTACAGCATTTCTTCTTGTGATAGGTGAAAATAAACTTAAAAGTTTATGCAGTTGCTTTGAGAACAAAATATAAACTAATTTTATTTGCCATAGAAGTCCTGAGTTGTTACAAGCTGACAAAATGCTGTATTTTATCTGGACTTGTACCCGAAATACAGCTTGTCTGACACTCTGAGAGCTGTGTTATGCACTGTTTTAGGGCAGGCATTGAGGAATATGTTAACTGATATAAATAATCAAGAAAATATTTCCTTAAATTAAAATGGACTTGATGCATGTAAGCTTGAAAAAATGTAGGGTGATTGTAATGACAGCAATAGATTCCATTTCCCTATAAGAATGCAAAAATGGTCCTTTCCTCAGTGATCATATGCCACTGCAAACATTCCACTGATGACTGTATCCAGTCTGGCAGTAAGCCCGGTTCAGGAAGGCTGAAGTGAATCTAAAAACTGCATGAAAAATTCCACTGACAGAAGTTGGGAGAAAAACTGTTATCTCAGTAACTGTTATTGCTGTTCTGGTAATGATAACCAGTAAATCATGCTCTGAGTCTGAATGATTTACATTCTCTGTTTATAGTCTCTTGTATTTTTCAGAGCTCTGCTAGCTGGTGGAGGCTTTTCCACGTGGACTTACCGGCAAGGCTACGATGTCAGTATTCCTGTGTACAGCCCTCTGTCTGCAGAAGTGGATCTGCCCGAAAGAGGACCAGGGTAAAGTGATTCCAATGAATTGGCAAAGTACATTGAATATTGCATGTGATATGGATACAAATAAAATACAAACATATCTGCTAGCCTCTTGGCAGGCTGGGTCAATTTGTGTAAGGGTTGGGCTCATGTATGGCTCTTCCTGTTAAAATACGTGATGGTTCTGCTGCTAGTAGCCTTGGCTAATCTGCCGGGGTGTGGGTTACCTATGAGCTGGGGGTATAGGGGAGATGATTCTGTCTTCCCACTTCAGAGACTAAAGTGTGGTAGGTGATAGTTTGACAATGTTTCTTGGTGATCCACTCCAGAAACTGAACTGTGAAACAGGACAACAGTGTTTCTAGCAGCATTAGATTCAATATATCTAGAATATATTTTCAACTTACAGAAAATAAATAAAAATAGTTGTTAATGTTTGTTTTTAAAGTTTAGGTAAAGCAGAGCTGTAATTCCAAGTAGCACTGATTCCCTAGTAAATTATACTTTCAGATCACTTAAGATACTTAAAAGCAAACTAATGACAATAAATTGTATATATAGCAAAGACAAAAGAAGCATTTTCAATAAGCCTTTTAATTACACAGCTGAAAGCTTCCCTGTAGCAGGTTCTTACCAGTGTTGTGGTTTAAAAGCTGAGCAGATTGAGGCAGTGGGGTAAATGTGCTCTTATTGATTATGAATTTCAAGATTGGAAACGCAGAAGCTTTAGGGATTTCTTCTAACCGCGTCCTCTAAAGAATACGGATTTATCAGAGTTGAAAACTGTTGTTGCAAGGGTGCTGCTGATAACAGACAAAAACTGGAGCTTTGGCTACAGTTGTCTCCTCTGGTAAGGGCAACATTCTTGCTATTGCTCTTGGCTGCTCCAGAGCAAGGAATCGTAGTTAGTTACAGGACAAAGCTGTACAGTAGAAGTTTGTTTTACCCACACACATTATGCTCTTGTTTATAATGCTTCTGCACCTGGAAGGTGTAGGGACACCTGGTTGAATCCTAACTGATTCGTCACGTCTCAAGTGTTATGGCCCAATGTAGACTGAGAGCATGCTTTGTATTTCTATCTGGAAGGTATAAACGTGATCATAAGTTTCAGCATGTGTAGAATCTGTTGCAGAGAGAGATGCTGTCATACTGGTTGTGTCCATATAGTCAACCAAATGCTGTGTCAGCCCATTTTTGATGGGAGGTTTGTGTTCTCAAACACACACAACTTTTTGTGAGAAACAGACTGCAGTCTCCAGAGTACCATCTAGCGGCCAGTTAGCGTTACTAATTGAAACATTCACAGGTTGCTTTATGCTGGAAAACAGTGACAAGAGAACAAAGCTCAGGTTCAAGCTTGATAGGGATAAGTAATCACATTCCATTACACTGAAGTGTTATTGCCTGCTAGCTGCAATCTACTTTCTTTTGTAACAAGATTTGATAGCTGGGTTTGGGTGTCATAGGATGATGATGGTTTAAAGGCAAAATTTGATTTTAAACGCCCAATCAATCCCACACAATCTTTCACTGGTCGTAAACATCCATTATCACTAGTGTGTGGTGGCATTTCCTTTTTTAAAGGCAAATCCTATTTTTGTTCCTCTTACAGAGTTGAACAGAGAGTTTGTGATTTACTGGCCTTTTGAGTTGGATAATTTGAAATATTTTAAATCCAACTCTGCAAGAAACATATGTTCTTTAAAACTGTTTGTAGCAAGATGGTAGCAGCTGCAGGCTTAGGAACAAGAGTGGCTTTAAAAAAATTCTGTTCAAGTCTTCTCTGCTAATTGGATCCGCTGAAGTGACCAGCAGGGAAATAAGTAAAAGAGGTGAGAAGAGCAGCAGGAAAGGTCTGACTTTATAAAGTGTGTGTTTGTGTGTGTTTTCAAAGCTGTAAATTAAAAGTAGTATCACGTGGAGCAGAATTGGAATCCTAAGTTCAGGCCGCCTATTTCCTGCGTTATTTTGGCTGCGTGAGGGCACGCTCTCACTGCGTGTTCCCTCGAATGGGAAGCAGTAGAGTAGTTTGACTTATCCGATCTGCTTGAAAAAAAAATCAGACTAAATGAGTATAACATTTGTGTGACATGATATATTCCAGCATTAACAAATCCCATTTTTCAAAGAGAGAGCTTCTGATCTGTCATTGTTGTTGTGTGTTTTACCTCCAGGTCTAATTAAAGCTGTGAAATAATTCAGTGTTGAAGCACATCTTGAATATTCGTGGTTTTGGGATGTGGTAGGACTTAAGAGGGAATAAGATTAGACAGTTCAGCATCTTTTTTTCCAATTAAAATTGATTTAAAAAAAAAATAATACGGGAGAAGAAAGCACTAGCAGCATTCAGTGTCCTGTCTGCTTTGTAACAGTGCACAGACATCAAGCATCAGTAGCAAGCTGTTTTATTATGTAGACAAGTAACATTAATCTCAATTTATAAAAGAGGTTATAATGCAAGTGCCTATTCATACAAGCACTTTTTCTGTGTATGATTTTATTTGATATTGTAAATAATACTAAGCCATTTAATATCAAAAATTTAATTATATTGCATTCTTTCCTGCATTGTCTGAAAATCCAATTTTGGCACTATGTCTACATTTAGCAGAATGAGATTAACTTTTCTAGAGTGGAAGGGAACGTGTTGCCGAGCACCTTGGAAGTAAACTTGCATTGCTGTCAAGTAAACTAGCTGTGTTTTCTCAGTCCCCGCAGGTATTTCATTCTGTCATCTCAAATGTCTCTGCACCCAGAATACCAGTCTGAGTTGGAAGCTCTTCAGGCTGAGAATGGGGAATCGGTGCTGCTCCTTGACAAATGTACAAATCTGTCAGATGGGGTCCCTGCTGTTCGCAAACGCTGTCACAACAATCAAATCTTTGATTATCCTCAAGTGCTTCAGGTAAGACTGTCTCTTCTGCAGATTTCTCTTTCTCTTGGTGACTGTCTTAGCTGTGGAGCTGTTCCTAGTTAGCCCTGATAGAGAACTTGCTTATATTTCATTTAATGTTTTGCAAATGCACAGTTCATTAGATCAGCTGGGATGTTATATCCCAACTTTATTCTGATTTTTAAGAGAATGAAGAACCGTGTACTCAAGCTGGTATAGAGGATACACTGCAGTCTGAAATACTGCTTAAGTGTATCAACTTAATGGGGTTGGTCATGGTGGTTGTGGTAGTACACGATAACATGGTGTAAACTTAAATAAGGATGTGCAGATACCACAAAATCCAGCTGTAATGAGAGGTGAAAATTTTGAAGGTCAGGCAAAATTGATTGCTTTAAAACTAGGGAAGAACTTTAGAATCTACACCTCCAGAATGACTGGTAAAGTGACCTTCAGTAGGCATGAGTTTGAAATTGATTTCTTAACGATTCTTCGGGTCTTGTTAGATCGAGCTTAGAGCAGTGGCCTGCTTTGTTAGTTGCAGGACAGATTAAAATGAACTTTGCAGAGCTTATGTATATATTTATTTTTGGGGGGAAAAAAAGACTGCTACAAATACAGTTCATCAGGTTGCATTTTTTGCATGCAACTCAGTAGTTAAACTCTACAAAATACTCTCTGTAGACACAATGGACTGAGCTAGAAGACTTGTCAGCATGCAACTATGAAAATATCTAGGTGAAATGTGTCTGATGGCCTTGGCCCAACTTCCAGAGGCCTTTTGATGTGTCAGGGAAGATAAAACTAGGTAGCATTCTCAGACCCCTGGGTCTCTTGGCAATTCTCTAACAGAGAGGTGCTTTGGCATGTGGTGTGGTGAAGTGAGTTATGCCATAGGCCACTGTGCTCTGTCTGTGGCCACCAGCACATAATTTGTCTTTGAACTTCAACAAATGATGATAAAATAACAAACAGGCTGAAGAAAGGCAAAGTTTCCACCCCTCCTGTTATGTTTTGAAGGAAATATGTTTAAAATTCCTTGGGGAGGAGGGGGAGAGGGAGAGGGAACAACGGGTCACAATGAGTCCTAAACTTCCAGTCAAAAGGGGAGGAAAAAAATCTCTTTGCTGTATTTCTTTAAATACTGACTGGATAGCTCAAGGATAGCAAGTCAGAGGATCTGTATCTATATCTTGCTATGTATTATTTTCTATCTCTGAAGAGAGCTGGCACATGCAGAGATTGTTAAAATACTTTCCTTAGCAGAGCCCTGCATCTCCCTTTGGAATGTCTGGCTGATAACAGTGGTGATGTGAGGAGATGTATTTATAGTAACCTTTGTCTAGACAGGAAAAATGGTTATCTGGGCAGATGAGCATCTGTGTCCACATCTGGGCTCTTCTTTATCTTCCCCACCCCCTTCTCCCAGACCTTACTAGGATTTCTTCCACCTGTTTATTTGTGATCCAGCAAGTGAATGGTTAAAGTGTGTTTGTTCTCTCTGCTCCTTCCATTTTCCCCCACCCTTCTTTTCCTTCTGTTCTTGTCTGGGAGTAGGGGAAGGAGGAAGCCTGAGGACTGATCCCTGTTCATCCTTTCCAGCACTGCCTGTACAGACTTTTTTCTAGCCAGGCTCTTGGACTTCTGGATTGCTAAAGCCTCCTGTTAGCACTCTTCTCTTGGACAGGATTCTCAGACTCTTCAGTACTCTACAAATATGAGCACAAGGCTCACAATTGCACTAGGAAGCAAGTGAAGATCCAGCAAATTCTGTTGTATTTCCTAGTTTCATTTTCATGTTTTTCTACCCTGCCTTCCTGGCTCCTTTTCATCATGCCACAGAATGCTAACTGGAAAGATATTTTCTTATCTGTGCAAGCCCTTGTGTCAACTTTGATTTCTCTTTCTTAGATTTGGGAATAATACTGACTTGGAGTTTTTCTTTGTAGAGCTAAACCCTCCAAGTATGTTTTTTTTGTCATCTTGAATCTGTAGCAAGTTTCCTCAGTAATGTTGAAGTGAACTAAATACCGTATCTGCAGCATAGCCAAGATACCTTCTCTGCTGGAGTTTCAGCTTGTGGCTTTTCATCTTGTGTGCCGTGGGCATGAATAAGCTGTTAATATTCTTTTTTGTGGAATCTTTTTATATCTTTGAAGCTCCCTTTAGCCACCTTCCTCCCATTTGTACCCCTTTGGAATAAGTAGTCTTGTTGAGTCTTGTTGGTCACGCTCTTGAGATAAGTTATCATACTTCTTTTCCCTGGAAGTGCATTGCCTAAAACTAAATACGCTGCTATGTCTGGGGTCCTGCAATACTGAACGGAGTGAGAGATTACTGCCATTCTCTTAGGTTGTGCTTCTTTCTACATTCTTTTACAACCTATGGTGGAGCGATTTAAATTTTTTTTTTCCAGTAGCATAACATTGTTGTTGCACATGAATATTCTTCATACCTTTTGTATGAAATATCCTTCTCTGCAAAACGCAAAACATAGCCCATTATTTCATGCTCTACATTTGTGCTGTTGATTTTTACCTAAATGTTGAAGGCTATATGTGTATTTTTAGTCATTTTCTCCATGTAGTGTCAAACTCTAATCTTGTTATCCATTATGTTTCTTAATCTTCCAAAAAATGTCAACCATCATCACATATAATAAGTAGTGTAGTCTTAATTTTGCTCCTCCCTTAACTAAGAGACATTTTGGATGCTGCAACTAGGATAAATTTTTTTTTGAACTCTTTTGATTCGTCACTTTTTTTTTACCTATGAGCCACTGCTAACTGCTTTTTATATAGAATTCTGTAACTATAAAGCCTCTAAGGGTTTTATCAATCTCATGATTTTTTTTTTTAATTTCCTTATGAAAATATCAGATGCTAAGTGCATTTTAAGATTGCCTATGAAATCTGTTATGTCCCTGTTATCCTTTTAGTGGAAAAAGTTGGTTTGGCATCGTACATTTTGCACTTGATAAGTTCACACTGCTTTTTGCTCATCTTGTTATGCCAACTTTCAAACTTATTTTTTCCACCTGAATTTTCTCAACTAGAATTCTGAAATTAGAACATTAAAGTAAAGCTTAGAATAATCTCGTTAGCTGATTTCTCTGCTTTCCACTCAATATTTATGAGCCACTAGTAGATAAACTTGAATTTATTGGTGACTCAGAATACATTGGTAGCGCAGTGCAAGTGCAAGTCTTTCCTTTTGGCTTCCCCCCCCTGACAATTTAAAGGGCATATATGTACATACCTACTTCAACTCTAATACTGCTCTTTTTTCCCTCATCATTGTGTTGGGTATCATTTGTTGACAGGAAGCTACATTCTGTGTTGTTCTACGTGGAGCACGCCTCGGACAGGCTGTACTGAGCGATGTTCTTCAAGCCGGCTGTGTCCCAGTCATTATTGCTGACTCCTACATCCTGCCTTTCTCTGAGGTTCTGGACTGGAAGAGGTTTGTACCATAACTGCTGTACATCCAGTTTGCACCTAAGAGGCATCCATTGTATTCAGTGATTTGAGTGAAACTGCTGTAATAAGTCAAAAGCACTGGTAGTTACAGTGAAGAGAATACTGAATAAGATAAATGTGGTCTTGGCCTTTGATGTATTCATGTATCGAAAACAAGAGAGGAAAACAAAGGAGGCAGAGTTGATTGAGCTGTTTGTTTATCCTGTAGCCAATGATATCTTTTCCAAGGCAGACTAGCTTTGTTTTCTTAAGCTTGCATTTAATGATGACTGATCTGCATTTAGACATTTAAGAACAGAATGTGCCAAAAAATGGCATCATCTGGATGCTTAATTTATTATACTTTATCATGATTCTTAAGTTCATTTGAGACTGAAAAGCATAATTATTTTGTAGTTGTGTGTATTGTGTTAAGAGTCTAGATTTTATTTTTCTATATGTGCACAATGTTCAGTTATGTGATCTTAGGATAATACATACAAAATTACTAGTTAGTATGCATAACACTGTAGGTGCTATCAGTTGTCACTCTGAAAGATCGAAGGTGTCAGCAAGTCAGTGGCAGTCCAGGGATGGGATTTCAGGAATTCTGTGTCTCCGTCCCTTCCATATTTTCTAAATTGATTTGCAGATCAGTCCATAGAATTCTGTTGTGTCATCTATGGGCAGGCTGACCGTGGTCATGAGGGAGTTGCTACAGAATAATAAATTACACTAGGACAATACTGCTTATTTCTACTGATATCTTCTGAGCACATCATATTAGATGTGGAACAAGTTTCTGTGTTAAAAGAGCTGTTGATCTCTTTTAATGTGGAATGTACTTTTTCTCATCTTACTGTTTTTCTGGTTGTTTGCTTATAGGGCCTCTGTAGTCATCCCTGAAGAAAAAATGCCTGAAATGTACAGTATTCTGCAAAGTGTTCCCCAACGACAGATTGAAGAGATGCAAAGACAGGTAAAATAATGAACTGTATTTAGATTATCCTTTATTTGCAGTTAATGTGGGTTTATGTCTGCCTTACTGTGTAATTTGTTGGAATGCTGAGGCATTGATTGTTCTCTCATGTTAATATTTTGATTATTCTTCCTTCTTTCTTTATGCTAAGCATATGCATTCACCATTATTTTTCAATATTTTATCTTTACCCTTCACTGATGCAGATAAATCTGGTAAACAGCAGCTGTTGAGCGGTACTACGTTATCCTTCAGGTCAGGAAGTGAAGAATACTGCATGTGATTGCAATTGCAGAAGAACACTTGAGTAGGCAGATTCCAGTTACTCAGATTGGAATTTCACCAACCTATTTTAATTTACATGCTATTGTGAAATATATTATAGGATTCTCAGTATCCACAGTGATCAAAGCTTCCCCATCCTGGGTTGCAGCACATCTGAAATGTGAAACTGATGTTTTGACAACCTGCTTTTTCATATGAAGATTTTTACAGTGGGTGGGGAATGCATATTCCTACCAATCCAGTCAAACTAAACTTTCAGAAACTTCTTTCTTGTTTTCCTTTCTGCTTCCTAATACACACTGGGCTGGAGGCTCTGCCTGAAGGCAGACTTAATACCTACTCTAATTTATTAACATGTTTTTGATGAAATTATAGCATATATGTATTTTTTCTACATAGTAACTAAATTGTCTGAAAGACAGTATTTGAGTCTACCTGTGTCCCAGGAGCTTTGTCTTGTAGATAAATTTTAATCCTCCAAAATGTGAGGGATATATCAAGTGAAAAATGTTTTAAATATTTTAACTAAATTGATGATTGCTGTGAGAGGGAGACTTTACTTATTTTGTGATTTGAAGAGCAGAGATCTTAAATTGTCCAAACTTGTGATTGAATTCTGTGTAGTTGGAGGCAAAAGAAACTATTTCGCTCCAGCTGATGCTGATTCTTGTTTGTTACTGTCAAAACTTTGCTTCTGTGGACACAGCCATCATCAGCTCCTTTAACTCAAGAGCTCGTACATATCAACACTGTCTGAACAGAATTGGCACTGTGAGGGTTTTCATGGTGTGAAAAGTTTTGTTGTCAAATTACATGGATTCAGCCATGTTCTTCTGATCGCTGTGCTATATGGATCACATTTTGGGGCCAGAGATGAATACAGTAAGATGTTGGCATGTATTGTAAACACATAACTAGGATCTGTAATCCTCGTCACCTTATTGGAATGATAGACGTTTAGTGCATGGTAGGGGGCTTCTGGTTTTGTGATGAGGAGCTGAGGCAAAGAATAATTAAGTGCTGGGTATGTGGGGAAAAAAGTAAACCACTTGATTTCAGATGACTTTTAAAGATGCATGGGATTTCTGTATTCAGATTTCTCCACAGGGTTTGGAGATGTTTCTGAAATCCCCTTGCATGTCACTGATGAAGTCATCTTCTGTGTGATTCTTGTAAAAGGTGGCCCAAGGCATGGTTTCTCAGGCTGTGGCCTGTAATACTAGTGTAATTGTTTCTACCTAGGCAGTGCTAAAATTTGCATCGTTACGTTAATAACGGATATGGGTGAAGAAACTACTCTGAAATGTAGTTATATTTCATGCCTGAGATTTTTTGCCAGCTTGACTTCTCTGTTCTGAGTGTCTGCAAATATCGTATCAGCCATCAGGGGTCTCCTTTCTCTTTAGTCCCTACAGACAAATGAACTGTTTTGGTAGGGCCCATTGGCAGCACTAATTTGCTGCAGAGAAGTGCAGAAGTAGCTTCATAACTGCAACTCCTAGAAACAATATTTTGCTTGATTTTTCTTGTTTTTCTGTGACTTGAACATAAAAATACTAACACAGGGGTGTTTAGCCTGACAAAACTAGAACTGACATGAATAGTTCATGAAAGCATACATTGATTTTCTTGTCTGTTTTACTAATGTCATAAAATAATCAGATCAAGATAATATTCTCCTACAGAGAAGGTGCTTTAAACAGTAAATTTAAAGTGCGAAATCAGGAAACTTCACTAGTTTGTATATTTTTCTCTTTCACTTTTCCCTTTGCATTCACAATATATGTTTCTCAGATGCTTTGTAGCAAACCAATTAAGCAACCTTAATTCAAGTAAATTATCTGTATCATTGGTAACTCCTGAATTTAAGCTAAAATAGAAGATATTTAATAAGCAGAATATGATATTGGTCTGTTTCTGGAGAGAATTTTGTGAACTGTAGGTGGTTTGTATTGGTCACTGTTATTGGATCCAAAACATCACTGAATATAACAGAAACACTGATTCAATTGACTGGAGGTGAGAAGTACCTCTAAAGCTTGCTCTCACATCTTGATGCTTTAGTTGGGAATATAGTTTTATGTTTTGGTGTTGAGAATACTGCGATGAAATTATAAGGTCTGTCTTCCTCTTGTCTTCCTCAATTTGTTTCTGACTGTATACTGAGAATACTTGAGCATGTTATCCATATGTTTCATGCACTGTCAGCACTATTTACAAGGTGGAATCTCAGTCTAAGTACCTGTGAAATTCCCTTGCTGTACATGGTTCTATGTCCTAGAAATCTCATATGGTGAAAAGCTACTTATGGACTGATATTGTGCTGACTACCAATAACTTGATTGCTTTTCCTCATTGATAAATGTGCAGTAATATTCCACCTGTGCTACAGATTTGTTTCCTTCCTCCTCATCAGCCTCACAATAGGGAGCAGTTGCATGTCTTACTTACTCTCTTACAATTTGAATGACTCAGGAAAAAAAAATGTTGTAGGGTGTTTTGACTGGCCAAAATACCCAACCAGTTTTTTTCAATGTCTTGACTTTATTTCTGTGACAGTGTACAGGGACAAAGCAAAAAAGATTCATAGTCTAAAGATGAAATGATGCTAGGAGGTGAGAGAATTTAGAATTGGAATGAAACTTCTGAAGAGACCGGTGCTTAGGCTGGTTCAAAAGGATATATATACAAATGTTGGTGTTTTTTGTTTTGTTTTTTTTTTTTTTTCCAGGTTAAAATAGACTGACTGCTTTTAGGGAGTAAAGTGTTATGTATTTTTTGCTTTGTTTTTGGCACTTTAAGCCATGCATCTGCTGAAGTAAAGAAGACACTTTAAGATAAGCCACTGCAGTATATAGGAACCCGTACTCAAAAAGATTTTCTTGCACTTTGTACACTGATCCATGAGCATCAGAAAGTACTGTCATGGAAAGGATTTAATGCAGGTGCTTTAGATTTGGAGCTACCTGTGAGGATGTACTGCAGGTATGACCTGGGCTGTGATTTCCTATAGAACAACTTCATTTGTCCAGTTGCTTCGTAAGGCAGTGTGTAGTATCAGCTCAGAAAAAGAGTAAGTGTCATTTAGTGATTTGAACAGAGCTTACTGTGTGGGAAATCTTGCAATTATACATGGTTGTATTGAGTTCTCTGAAGATTAACCATGTTAACATATGCTTTTACTGTTTGAACTTGCGGAACATTTTGTTGTCAACAATTCCTGATTTGATTTCCTAGAAACTGGAAGCTAACATGTTTTAGTTCTCCAATGCATTGAACATCAGAAAAAAGTCCCCACTGCTTGAGCTTCTGAAGTTAATAGCAGTCTGGATGAAATCTGCCCATCTTTGGGACTGCTGTCTTGTCTCCTTTGTACAGTAATGTTGTCATACTCGTTTTCTTTGAAGCTTCCTTGAACAGTCCCCCTCTCACAAGTAGTTCCATATGGAATCTGAAATACTGGCTGAAATGCCCAGAGGCAAGTTGATGAGCAACTCAGCTGCACTGCTACTGACCCAGCAGACTTGACACTACATCCTTACGCTTTCATTTTGTCTGCACCACAAAGCAGCACCCACTTAATAGCAAAGTCCTAGAAGTGGAGTGATAAGAAATAGAAGTGAATGTTGTAGATGTGTGTAATAGAGTGAGAACAGAAGTTTCTTTGTCCTGAACAGTAGGACTGACATAGGTGGGAAGAAAAGGCAAAAATAAACTTGGCTGATGTCTGCTTATCCCATGCCTTGTATAGTTTCCCTGTCAGCTAAGGTATTTCTAACCTGTTGCTTTGAAAGTCTGCTAATCTACAGAAACATACTTCAGTACTGTCATTGATACAGAAATGTCTTCAACTTGTATAACAGTTTTCCACACCTTAAATTTGACCATCTTCATTTTATCCCCTTTCTTTTTCTGAAATAAATGTCCCAGCATGCAGGTGTTTTGTTAATGTTTTTCCCCATTGAATATCAGCCTACTTGGAAGTCTTTTAACACAGAAAGCCTCATTAAGTTAAGAGATCAGAATATGAAAATAGTCAAGTGTTGGGAATAGAAGAGTCGTTCCTTCATTTATTTAGATGTTCTTTCTTGGAAAATGGTTTTCAGGTAAAGAGATTATTTTCCAGAGAAGGCTTAGTGTGTTCTTTAGTGACTTTGTAACACTTTTCCACCTTCCAGAACTAAAACTTTTGAATTAATATCCAGTCTGGAAGGCAGAATGACTTCATGTATTCTAACAGTACAAGAATAAAGAGCTAGCTAGAGCTCTTGAAGGAAGGAAGTCTCTTCATCATGGTTTCCTGAGGAAACAAGGGCATGATCATCATGTCTGAATGCTGTTTTGTTCCACTTTGGATTTCTGTTGTTGCCTGATTTCTTCCAATCTTACTTTGTGGTGGAAATCTTGGAGATAAGAAATTCCACAAAGTTGTGTAACTTTGTGCAAGGTAAGCATCCTGGAATCACATTACTTTTAAGGAAAAACTTGCAGCTCAAGCTCATAGCAAAAGCTCTTTGCACATCCTCCTCGTGAATGGCTGTTCTTTGGGAAATATTTTATGTGGAAATAGTGCCTCCTTAGGCCAAAGAAGCTAGAGTACAGCACAACTGAATGATAAATGACAAATGAAATTCAGTGTAGATTTAAAAAGGAATAAATGTGCAAGGAAGAATAGCTCTCATATATGCAGTTTTGGCCTCTCAGCTGGGTGCAGT